CCTGCCACTCCCTGTCCCCCACCCTCCCCCACCAACATGACTTTGCTTTGCCCTCTTGAACGTCCAGGCCCATCAAGCCCAATGAGATCCTTCCCCCCGAGAAGGGTCGGGAGGTGGCCAAGGAGCTGGGCATCCCCTACTATGAGACCAGCGTGGTGGCCCAGTTCGGCATCAAGGACGTCTTTGACAACGCCATCCGGGCGGCGCTCATCTCCCGCCGCCACCTCCAGTTCTGGAAGTCCCACCTCCGCAACGTGCAGCGGCCCCTGCTGCAGGCGCCCTTCCTGCCCCCGAAGCCCCCTCCCCCCATCATCGTGGTGCCGGACCCCCCCTCCAGCAGCGAGGAGTGCCCCGCCCACCTCCTGGAGGACCCGCTGTGCGCGGACGTCATCCTGGTGCTGCAGGAGCGGGTGCGCATCTTTGCCCACAAGATCTACCTCTCCACCTCCTCCTCCAAGTTCTACGACCTGTTCCTCATGGACCTGAGCGAGGGGGAGCTGGGGGGCCCCTCGGGGCCAGGGGGCCCCCGCCCGGAGGACCCCCGGGCTCCCCCGGATCAGTACCACCACCACCACCACCACCACCACCACCACGGCCGGGAGTTCCTGCTGCGCGCCGCCAGCTTCGACGTGTGTGAGAGCCTGGAGGACGGTGTGGGCGCCGGGCCCGCTGGGCTCCGGGCCTCCACCAGCGACGGCATCTTACGGGGCAACGGCACGGGGTACCTGCCTGGCAGAGGCCGGGTGCTGTCTTCCTGGAGCCGAGCTTTTCTAAGTATCCAGGAGGAGATGGCAGAAGATCCACTGACCTACAAATCCAGACTGATGGTGGTGGTAAAAATGGACAGTTCCATCCAGCCGGGGCCCTTCCGGGCCGTCCTCAAATACCTGTACACGGGGGAGCTGGACGAAAACGAGCGGGACCTCATGCACATCGCCCACATCGCCGAGCTGCTCGAGGTCTTCGACCTGCGCATGATGGTGGCCAACATTCTCAACAATGAGGCCTTCATGAACCAGGAGATCACCAAGGCCTTCCACGTGCGCCGGACCAACCGGGTGAAGGAGTGCTTGGCAAAGGGCACCTTCTCAGGTAGGGACTGGGCTTAGGAACTCGTAGCCAGAAGGCGGAGGGGTGCCCTCCCAGTAGCCTTCCGAGGAGCCCAGGTTGGTCCCGTTAGCACTCGGCGGCTGACGTCCTGGAGGTGTGTTGGCTCTGCCTGGAGTCGGAGAGTGTGGTCGCATAGGGCTTCCCAGCTGCGGCTTCGGAGGGAAGCGTGTTGTCTGGGTGCAGTGCTGACCCTTGGGGTTGGTTGTCCCACATTCTTTCACCACACCCTCATGTGATGCTTCGTCTCCTCCCGGACAGATGTGACCTTTATCCTGGATGATGGCACCATCAGCGCCCACAAGCCCTTGTTGATTTCTAGCTGTGACTGGATGGCTGCCATGTTTGGGGGGCCGTTTGTGGAGAGTTCCACCAGGGAGGTAAGCCTGGCCGGGGGACCTAGACTCTTGGCGTCTGAGACCTCTGTCATTTAATGGTGCTTTCTTCAGCGTTCACTGTGTGCTAACCAGTGAGTGGTGGGCCTGAGGGAGGTTTATGAGATGGTTCCCATAGCCAAGGATTTTACTATAAACCTGGATGGAATTATAATAATATCTTGACTTTGTCGTTTAGAAAGCACTTTCAATACATTATCTCAGGTCACCTCATGCATGACTCCTGTACATGGCTTAGCATTCCCACTTTATACATAAGGGAAGCGAGGCCCTAAAAAGTTAATGACTCGTGCAAAGTTGTCTAAGTGGAAAGGAGGGGCTAGAACTTGAACTTAGGACCTCTGTTTCTTTGTACCTTGCTTTCTCCCTGACACATGTGAAACAACTAGAAAAAAGTTCAGGGTGTCCCAGGCTGAACCCAGCAGTGTTTTCAAACGTCAGTTTTATTATTGAGGCATGCTGAACATGACAGCAGATCAGGACGAGATTGCCATTGAAAAGATAAATTGTTACACTCAGATCTAATAAGCAATGACATGCACAGTGGGGTGGGGTGGAGTAGAGCACCAGGGTTGATCAGGGGACAGACAGAGCAAGGGGCACTATGGGCTACAGCCTTTATTGTGGTTTCCCTGGGAACGAAGGGAAGGGAGAGGCAGAGAAAGCTCTCAGTTTGCTGGTTCGAATAATTTCAGCAGGCTCTGGGGCATAGGGACTGTCCTTAGTCACCTGGCCTGGGTGATTAGGGCAGGTGAATAGTGGCTAGGAGGGAGAGCTGATGAAGGAGGTGGTAGGGGTATGGATTCTGGATTGGTAGGTTTGCACACAAAAGGCGCGCTTGTAGGCGATTTCTGTTACTCTCCCTAGGAGTTGGCTAACCCTGGGAGGGGGGCAGTCCCTCCAGGGTCAGCAAGGCTCCAGATGTCAAAGCATGAAAATACAGAAAATAAAAAGAAATGCTTTCCCTCTGATTACGGCCATTCCAAATCACCTTAGGCATAGAGAGTGTCAACAGAGTTGGAAGGGGCCTATCAGTGTGTCCGTAGAGATACTCTCTTAAGCCTGTTCTTGGCATTCTCCCAGCTAAGCAGAGTAGCCTAGGCCATGGCCCTTGGTTTTCTCCATCTTCTCTGAACTTCTGTAACATTAATTATTCATTAACTCAGCCTTGCTGTTAACAAGGTACTACTTTGTGCAGCTGCTTAAAGTGCTGAATGTCCACACACAGTTTTCCCAACTGGTCTGTGATGTCCTGAGTGCGGGGACTAGGTCTTTACTTCTGCCAAGTGCTCCCTCAGCCAGTGCTGGCCCCTTAGTAAGTACTCACCAAGTACCTGAATGAAAAACCGGACTAAGAACAATGCAGCACCTCCCTGCGACACAGAATAGGAATTTCCTAGGAGCTCTGGGAAGGAAGCCCTTACAGAAGAAAAGCTAAGCGGAGGGTTGAGCTTTGATCCTTGAAGCGGGCTGGGATATGCTAAGTGAGAGACTAGGAACTCTGAAGCCCCAGGGTCAGCCAGCCCTGAGCTCTTCAGTACCATAGAAGCAGCTTCAAAGCTCTAGCTGATTCCAGCACGGCCTGAGAGACTTGCGTCTCATGAGAAAGCAGTTTTTGAAGCAGCGCTGCTCGGAGGAGTCCTGGAGGCCCAAAGTAGCGGCTTCGGGAAGCCAGCTGATGTTGGCTTGATCATGCTCTATTCCACTTGCGCTGCTCCCTGCAGGGTCGGGAAGGGGCAGGGTGTAGGTTTAGGTGATCGGAAGGACTCCTTCCGGCATCTTCCAAGCCAGAATGGCTTTGGAAGGATGCCAGTGAGAATCCAGGTCCTATTAAAAGCTGTTAGAGCCCTGCTCACTGGTGCTGCCAGCCGATGGGCTTAGCACAGGGTGTCTTTCTGGGAGACAGGCCTATGGGTGCTCCTCAGCAGGTACAGGGGCAGCACAGGGGTGGCTCCCTGCTTGGGGGAGACCGGCTGCGTGCGCCAGGGCTTTCTGAGTTTCTCAGAACCGAGCGACTCTTTTCGTAGCCCCGGCCCTCACTGCGGCTGCTGCCCTCCCCCTGCAGGTGGTGTTTCCTCACACGAGCAAGAGCTGCATGCGGGCGGTGCTGGAGTACCTGTACACGGGCATGTTCACCTCTAGCCCCGACCTGGACGACATGAAGCTCATCATCCTGGCTAACCGCCTCTGCCTGCCACACCTGGTCGCCCTCACAGGTAACCATGCGGGGAGCCTGCAGGAGTGGTGACTTCTCTCACCTGTCTCCTCCTTGGGGATAGACCGCGAGCACCAAGGGACCCGAATCCGTACAGGGAAGCATGGTGATGCGTATTGGGGTTGGGTGGGGACACAGATGTGAAGAAGTGTGTGTGAGAAAGATGCTCGATGGGGTCGCCGGTGGGTCATCTCCAAAGGTGAGTTCCACCCAGCAAAATGGTGTCCAGGAGGTGACAGCGCCTGCCTGGTGTTCCATCAGCTGGCTTCACTCAAGCCTGCCTGAGAGGCCAGAAAGGGTCGGGCACAACGCCACCTTTCTACCCTGGTCCCCCGCCCTCTCCGTGTTGTTTGGTCACATAGCTGTGCTTTCCTTCCTGTTTATTCCTCTCCTCTCCTCCCTTCTCTCTTCCACCTTCATTTTCTCTGTCTTCTTCCAGAAACAGACAATGAACA